TCTCTCACACTGATTCACTTACATATAGGTGTGTAGCACATTTACAACACATAAACATTGTGTTTCACCCTGAGTCCCTCGATACAGACTGGCCTTCATGACCTGTTTATGTAACAATTTACGTAACATCTCTGCACACGGGAAGCTCAGCAGCTGCTCAAAGTTCCGTGGACTGCGTGGACCATGTTTTAACACCCAGTCGTTCTGCAGGGGTATTAGTGATGTGGCCAACCCCTTGCTAATTCCACCACTGCTGTGATGAATACTCTTGAAAAGAAATCTTAAAAACCTGGGCAGCTGTGGTTGTGGCGTAACTTCCTAGGATCACTGCTGCCTGGCAAATGGACACAGGTGGGCACTTTGGTAGGAGCTGCTGAGTGGTTCCTGTGACAGGGGTATCTATGAACACGTCTCCCGGGGCATCCACTGGGACCTCTTCTTCCCACATTCTCACCGGAGCAGGTCATCACNGAATACTCTTGAAAAGAAATCTTAAAAACCTGGGCAGCTGTGGTTGTGGCGTAACTTCCTAGGATCACTGCTGCCTGGCAAATGGACACAGGTGGGCACTTTGGTAGGAGCTGCTGAGTGGTTCCTGTGACAGGGGTATCTATGAACACGTCTCCCGGGGCATCCACTGGGACCTCTTCTTCCCACATTCTCACCGGAGCAGGTCATCACTGGACATATAGACCTTCCCTTCTGATGGGGCAAATGCCATCTGAATTATGAGTACATTTCTGTGTGTCATCATAAGGGAGGCTGTGGATGTCTGACGTTTCCTGGCTATATGAATTGCTTCCCTTTGGAACTGCAGGAATATGTCCTTTGTCCCTATAAAAACATGGATAAATGAGAACGTTTTGTAACACTAGGATGACTATTACCCTTTCTCTGACCATGAAGAATTTTCCAGTCTGGGGTTTGTCTTATCAGCTTTTGACATTATTCTTGTTTTTTTTTTTTTTTTTTTTTTTTTTTTTTTTTTTTTTTTTTTTTTTTTTTTTTTTTTTTTTTTTTTTTTT